GTACCCATTCCCACCTGGGTGAAGTGAGGAAAATTCGTGTAAAGTGCTTTTCCCAAGGACACAAGGTCGGGCCCCTGACGGGATTCGAACCCACGACCTTATGGTTGCGAGTCCGAGAGCCTAACCACTAGGCCACCGACGCCACGATAATAAAATATATACCAATAACTCCTTACACCCTAAATTCGACGAGCGCCTGATTTCACTGCGTCGTGGCACATTCTTTTACTGCTTTCACAAATTGAATAAGGAAGCCTTATGCAGCCGCAAGCGCCGTAAAACTCTGACCCAAACCAAACTCGATGTAAATGAAGTACGTCGGTTAGTGCTTGGGGAGGCTTGCCGGAGATGCTAACTCGTAAAGACAATTAATTGTTGTTGACTGTTCGTTTTTTTTACTGTTTTGTGGTTGAGTTAATGGCTTGTTTAATGTTGTCTGGGCTTGTCGGAACGAGAGAGGAGCTCGGGGGTTTCGCTGATGGGGTATCAGTGTATGTGTGTGAGTGTGTGTGTATGTGTGTGTGTTTGTGTGTGTGTGGGTGTGAGTTTGTGTGTGTGTGTGTGTGTGTGTGTGTGTGTGTGTGTATGAGTGTGTGTGTGTGTGAGTGTGTGGGGGGGGGGATGAGGGTGTGGAAGAGAAAAAAGTAATTGGTAAGATTTGTTTCTGCTGATTTTTTATTCCATTTCAGGTTGTAAAAAAATCCATAGAAAGGAGGTTATAAAGGAGAGAAAAAAAGAAAAAGAGAAATAATGAAATGGGAAGAAAACAGAACTGAATACAAAAATGTACAATGATATTCGATGTAGACAAACGTTATTAAATAAGTAGGCTTTGGTTAATTGATTGATTATTTCATTCGATAATAAACAAACAGGTACACACATTGATCAACCTTATCTGTACGCCCTGGAGTCATTTTGTACCCCCGGAGTTGTATTCTTCACATTCTAGAATACTTCTAGTACGAAGATCGCTTTGACACTTTCGGTATTTCTCAAAAAATCATTTTGACAGACTGCTATGCAAAACGTACGAATCGGATTAACGAGTAAATTTCCTCTTTGGAAAGGTGGTGGCACAGAGTTCCCCACGTCGTTTGGATACATTAGTAGAACACGACCTATGGATATGGTTAAGCTTACGATTAATGAAGCATATTATCATGGGTAAGCGGATAAATCAACAAATCAAAAAGAATGTTTCTTACCTCTGTAGCGGTCTGTATGTCGACCACATGGGGAAAAGAGTTCAACTGAGTGCTGTTGGTGGTCAGAAAACCTTCCACGGACCAGTTGCCCCGGGGATTTGCGCAAAACAAATGCTATCTATTATTATTAAATCAATAAGAATCAATGAGAACGTTTCTTACCTCTGTGGTAGTCTGTATGTGGACGACAGGGGAGTAGGTGTTCAACTGGGTGCTGTTGATGGTCAGAAAACCTTGGACTGACCAGCTGCCCTCGTTGTGCAGCAGCCCGCACGCCGGCTCGAACTTGATCTTTTTGACTCCCAGGAAGGTGAAGGTTTGGCCACTGACCACTGGAACGTAATTGTAATGTAAGTCTGATATATGAAATGAGAGGCAACGTGGTGGAATCAGGCTCTCGTCAAAATAATGAAATCAAATAAAACAGCAGTTTGGCAATTTTAATCAAATTTTTGTTTTTTCGCTCATCACTTTTAATGTCCATTTACAAACACATTCCTTTGAGGATTTCACCGAAAACGTTGATTAAAGGCACAAAAATATAAATGTAAAGTTTCCATGGACTCTCCAGCTTTGGAAGTTACCAAGCTTTGGCGGACATTTTATCGCTAATTTTACTTCTTAAATCAGGTGATCCCCCACCTCCTTCAATCCAAAATCTCTCCAATTCTATTGAAGATGGATGGGTAGTTTTTTCATTGAAAGCAAAACAAATGAACAAGCTTTAAGAATATACCAATAACTCAATATGCCCAAATATTGACGAAAGCCTGATTCCACCACGCTGCCTTACAAATGTAAAAATGGGAAGGAACTATTTATCGAATGTTGAAATAATGATTCTTTGAGGGGGGGCTACACCCCCAAAGTCAAAATTCGGCTCAAAATTATGGAATTTGAGTTGTAGGCATTTTTAGCTTCCTCAACCTCTCCTACAACTAATTTCATCACATAAGAACCCCCCAAAAACCGTATTTTTTCCATACCCGGCACCGCCATTTCCTCATAAAGTCAGTATTTTTTTTTTCATCGGCCGTTTTCTCAAAACGCGACATGTCTCTATACTTTTTTGAATAACTCCACCATTTTTCATCCAATCTTCATGAAATTTTCACAGAATGAAGAGAAGATATAATACTAAAAATTAATTTATATCACAATTATTTCCCCTTCTTGATACGTCACATGCCTCGTTTTGGGATTCACACGAGAGTTCAGTGTAAACGAAACACCACTAAAGTCAGTTCATTGGCAGGTTGGCAAGAGAGCGGCCATGTTTTGTCTTTCTTTCAAATATTAATCTTTTTAGTGGGTGGTTGGTGGGTACTTTGGTGTGGTTTGCATCTTCTTTACTATCAAACATATACCGTCCTTATCCCCCCTTCTCCTTTTTTATGTTTGTTACTCTCTTGTAACACCTCTAATCTTCTGGCGCTCATATGACCTTATGCAGTTGTGAGCGCCGTAAAACCTCTACTAAAACTAAAACATAATCTTTTTATAATGTGAGGCCATATGCAGCCGTCACAGTAATGTTTTAGTTTCGGTTTTAGTAAGATCCACAGGGCTTGCCAAAACAATCCTGCAAGGAACCGTACAAGGAAAGAGAAAGAGAGGAAGGCAGAGAAGGAGATGGGAGGATA